CTTAGAATGGGTTTCAACCCCCATTTCACCCTTTCTTTAATCTTTGGGAGCTTTGGTATAGCAATTTGGACTTAATTTTTAAGGAAATTTTTATTATAACTGTTCATAACTTTAAATATTATATTATCCATTATTACATATGGATTTATATGTCCAAATAAAGCTATTCAAACGTGAAATTTGGAGTTATCTTAAAGATCCGAAGTAGTGAATAAAATTGTAACTTTGAAATGGTTTTGATCCCACATTCAAAATTATTTTCACTAATGAGTTCATAAAGCCTTAGACATCTTCTTTATGTTTTATTTTCCAGATTTAAACCTACATTTTGAAATTGGAATTTGTCTTTTTCACCCATTTCTCTGTATAACGCATATGGAATATGTTTTTTCTTATCAATGATTGTAAATACTTCTTTATTTTTTAATGTGTGACTTTGGAAGTGATTCGTAAGGGGAAGAATCAACTCTTGGAGTGATTAATTATTGATTCAAAGCAAATGACCTCCTACAAAATTTATTCTTTTAGAATTTGTGTATCTCCTTCATTGATTATTGTTGAGAGTATTAGGAAAGACGTGAAGTATTTAAATTTTCCACCTGATACATTTAAAATAATAAAAAGAAATTGAAATGGAGAAGGCTATGCGATGAACATGATGATGTGAATTATCGTATGATGACCCTTGTTGGCTGATGTATGAAATGCTTGAAAACAACATTGTAGACTTGAATTTTATGATTTGTTTTCTCTTTTGTTCCATTGATATTGTTTGTGTGCATTGATTCTGAATAATGTGATGGGCCATTTACTTATTCATGAGGATGAGGCTTTTCTAGAAAGTGTTATGATATTGAGGTCTCTATGTGTGAGTATTTTTATTGTCATGCTGAGGTCTTTATTTTTGGGTGTTGAGATGTGTGGATCATTTCTGAAATATGTTTATAAAGACGAAAGGTATTGATTCTTAGTAATGTATAGATTATGGGAAATGATTCAGAGTTGTTATTTGACACAAAGCTGATGGGAAATGGTTCCGGCTAGTGATGGAAAGAGAAAGGGAAATGGTTTCTATTAGTGATGGAAAGAGGATGGGAAATGGTTTCAACTATTGATTTCATATATAGTATATGGGAAATGTTTCTATCTCGTGATATTGTAAAACCTTAAAAATTAGACATGGATATTTTGGCAAGAAAACAACAAGGTGAAGCAAATAAGGATTCATAGGTCTTGATCTGAACACAGTTAATCAACCATATCATGGTATACACCCTCCAAAAACTGGTGTACTATGGGACCCTTCACGTGCTTTGGGTTCCCATATGAGCTATGGAACGACTCATGGAAATGAAACAGAACTACCAAGGGTCAGACGTCAAACATAAAGCAACAAGAGGAGAAAGAGAAACCAAATGTTCACAAGAATAGTAATAATTTTATGTTTAAGAACCAATACTGAAAAATCTTTCCGTAGATTTCATCACCAGGTACGGGGGGTTTCATTAGCTGTTTCCTTTCATCATCTACGTCCATATAATCCAATGAGGTCCGTCAGTCTCCTTATATTTAATAGACCTAGGGTTTATAAAATCATAGACAATTAACATATTTTACATATTGTAGTAACCTAAAAAAAATAGCATGTTTTTAGGAAAGTTTGCATGTTCATAGCAAGAATCACACAAACCTAGTTCTGTAGATTCTCCTAGTTTATGAATCATAGTTTACAAGGTATTTAAACACATAATCATGCTCTTTTTTCGAATGTTACACCATTATTATAAAAATATAGCATTCCTTCATTCACATATTGAGTATGGAGTACACTTCGAGCTGAGTTGGACTAGGGTTTAGCGTTTGCTTATAGTCCCAGATCTACCTTCCCTCGTTGGATATAAGTCATATCTATGGGCATCTGATTGAGTAATCACATCATTCATGCCTTCTACACCAGGAAAGCAATGATGGGTCCTCTTAATTGGAGTATACATCGATATCCATATTATCTTACATGGTTTGACATCAATTAATAGTAGCTCCCACAGACAAACTCTTATTGCTCTTGTTCATGATAAGGACTTGATTATTGCATTCAATTATCTTTTAAATATTTATATTTTTGTTCAAATTAAAGTATTACTAAGTTATGATGTGTTTCGGATAATTCATATTTGTTCAACTTAGCATCTATATTATCCATGCTCAGTAAATTCCAAGTATTAATTCTTAATCTTCACTACATCCTTTCATGATATAGGTTTAGTTACTCAGCCTTTGGACAGCTCTTAGATCAATTCTGCGTCTGAATTCAACAAGTTCAGTGCGGAGTCCTCACACATATAAGATAAAAGACATGCTTCCATTTCAGTCTTTTACATTTTATATTAAGTTTTTTAGAGTTATCTAGGGGGAATGTCATAGAAACATTACACATTCAGAGGCTTATCATAAATATTAGTAGATTCAGCTTTAGTTTTTAAGCAATTGTTTCAGTAACCTCGTAAGTCTTAATATGTTTTTCTATCTAGACTAGTGGGAATTTCCACATATTAAGTGTCGTTGTTCTAGCCTCTGCATTGTGTATGTTTCACTTAGATATTTAAGTATGCTTATAATATGTCAGACATAAGGTTTGATTGGGGTTACCCATGATCCTACGTCCTATGTTATGTTAAGGGGTAGAATTACAACGTGACCTACTTGGTATTAAAACATTAGGTACAAGAGACCAAGATTTTCTAAAAGCCGCACTAAGTAAAGTGTCTTTAAGTAGTCTAAAGTACATCACATCTATTAGAGGAGGCTACGTAGTGTTTTCAGAGAAACATCACTTTCTTTGAATTTTTACCGTGCGTTGATAGGATTAAACTTCTCGTTTCTAATTTATTGTTATACATTTAATATTATGTCTATTCGTAGAGATAACATGCAAAATGCTAACGCACGCAATGCTAACAGAGTTCCTATAGTCCAAAACCGCAAGTATAAAAATGCATACATTCAGAATGTGATAAAAACCTTTGCTAAAAGTGTAGCAAACCACAACAATCAGTAGGTATGAATTCCTACTAAAACTATTGGTGGATCAACTACATCTAGGGTTCAAGATACTATTTCGGATGAATTCTCTTTAGTTTCAAGGGTTGAAGGTTGGTAAGGACCCACAAAAATTCATTGAGGAGGTTAAGAAAACACATAGAGTAATGGAAGTGACTAGAACTGATAGTATTGAGTTCTCATCCTACCAACTTAACGAGATTACTCATATCTAGTTCACTTAGTAGAAATATATAATTGGTGTGATGCAGCTCTTGTGATTTGGGAACTTGAGTTCGTCAGGACACGTTCTTCCCAATGGAATTGACAAAACCTAAGTCACATGAGTTTATGAACTTGAAGCAGGGTTCGATGTCATTTTTTGAATATAGATTGAAGTTCAATCAACTATCCAGGTAGGCTCCACACATGGTTATTGATCCAAGATCACATATGAGTAAATTATTATTTGGGATATCCGATCTGGCAAAGATTAGTTGCATGAAACCTAATCTCCTAAGGGATATAGATATATCCATACTCATGACTCATGCTAAACATATTAATAGAGACAAGCTTAGGTAATTGACTAAGTATTATAAAAAAGCAAAAATATGAAACTATGAATAATCACTATGTAAGTCGGACGGTTGAAATCTCTCACATATTAAGTCGAGGTCTACAGCCCCAACACCTTCATCAGCTAGTGCTCCATCCTTTGGGATTTTACTAGATACGAAAGGTAGGGCATCAGATCAAGGTCTCAAGGGAGTATTTCAGTTACTACCACCTTACAATCGAGGAATGATGCTTTGGGTGTTCTTGGTCATACCAAAAATTGAAGGATTCACAATCGCTAGGCAGGGACAAGGAGGTAAGAAAAATAGAGCTCAGTCTAAAGATCTAGTAGCACCAGCGATAGTCCTACTCTGTATGTTGTTTCATCTTGTACGGATGTCGTTCATTGCAAGAATATGATGTATTCTCTCCAGACTTGTGAGGTCCAAGAAGATTCTCCTTATTTTTTCATTGGTACGTTACGAGTCTTTTATTTACATGCTTATACATTGTTAGATCTAGGGGCTAATTGTCATTTGTAACTCCGTATATTGAGTTAAACTACAATTCATGTAAAGAAACTCTCTTAAAACCCTTCTTGGTATCTTCTCCAGTTGTTGGCCGACCTTAAGCTAGACGGATATACAGAACTGACCTATCATAGTCACTTAAAAGTTCACACAATCAGATCTACTAGAGGTAGAAATGGTAGATTTTGATATCATTTTAGGCATGGACAAGTTATATTCCTTTTAAGCCTCAGTCGATTGTAGAACTGCAAATGATCGATTTTAGTTTCCAAACAATCTAGTCATAGAGTGGGATGGTAGAATCATAGTGCCTATTAGTAAATTTATCTCATATGTTAACTTTTGAATTATGGTGTCTAAAGGGTGTATGTATCATCTTTATCAAATAAGGTGTTCAAGTTGCGAAACCCAACTCTGGAGTCAGCCTAGTAGTTAACGTATTTTAAAAAGTTTTTCTAGAATATCTTCCTTGAGCTCCTCCCAAAAGGGAAATCAACTTCAAGATGGATCTCCTCCCATATGCCAAACCAATTTTTGTTCTGCTTAACAAAATAGTGACAGTAAAGCTTAAGCAATTGAAAGACTTGTTTGATGAACTTATAGATAAGAGCTTCATCAAACCCTATAACTCTACATGGGGTGCTCCAATATTGATTGTGAAAAAAGAAAGATGGTTCTCTCAGAATGTGTATTGACTATCGATAGTTTAATAATGTTTTCACGACTTTAGAGTATACCCTAAAAGAAATAGTATTGTAAAATTGTGGCACTACATACGTGAACTCTTGGAGGTCTTGTACAAGCCCTTTGACTTAATTCATTCCATACATGTATGAAAAGTAGTACGGAATTAAAACTTTTCACACGAAATAATAATACATCAAAATATCTCTTTTATTGAAAATAATAAGGAAAGGCTAAGTCTCATAGTCGTCATATTAGATACACGAATATCTTGGAGATGACCCATACACTAACAAATTTAAATATCTAAGTCTATTACAATTACTTTAATAAAGAAAAATAAACATAGTGATGTCTTTAGATCTATTGAGGATATACCCCAACATTGCTTGAGTGAATACTGATCCAAGCTTCAACTTCAAATGACTCCTCTGAAATTCCACCTACACATTTATAGAGAAAAAATGGAATTAGTGCATTAGAATGTATTATGTATGGTGACATGTAATGAGAACCATGCTAAAAGGATATTTGAATAAAATGTTCTCTTTTTGTATAAAACTTTTCTGACAAGTATATGAGTCACTTACAACTCAACATAAACACATACAAGTCTTCTTACACAATATAGCACATTACCACTTAAAATCATACAAGGATAATACTCACCTACAAAAGGTCCTCCCAAGGCTCACTTGAGTAAGACATGAAGCGGCCGCCTATACATCCCTCCACACACCTAAGAGAACCTCAAGTATTAATAAGATAAAATTATTCACTTTATTCAATTAAACCGCTACCTAGAGTTAATCTACGATTCGCCTAAGTAGGACATGAAGAGACCGCCCATCTACCCTATCCAAGATTAACTATGAAATTTTTTATTCTACTCTAGATAAATACATTTACATTTACATTCATTTAACTTATGTCACTTTGTTCATTAAGTAATTTAGGAGACATTCAACAATTAAATACTTCCACATAATGTTCTTGGAGAAGACCTAGGGAACCTATAGACTAGAATCTTTAAAGACTACTCGTGCAATATCTAGACAAATGTACATTGAACTATCTACACTTTGCAGAACCTATTGAATACGAAAATGTATCCCACATGATGAGAATAGCCAATAACCGACATGGAGCATACTAATTAGGCATGGAATCTGCAGTCAAACCCTATTTTGATGGAGTGACTTCAACTTGGCAATGGTAGAATTAGGACACATCACATGTAGGTACATGGATAAGGAATTTCAAGGGTTTCATTGCACTCTAGTCTCATCTCAAGAAGAGTCACTCCCCAAGCATACTCAATCGGTGCTAGCCTTTATTCGTATAGAGTAATTCAATCTTTGGGCATATGAAGAGGTATTATATTGAATTCACAACCAAATCATAAAACATCCAACTAGAGGAGGTCCACTAGGGATGCCAAACAATGGTCAAATAGAATAACTCAATGACTTTCTTAAGGATGGTTTTATGTTGTTCTAACCAACCAAACCCTAAGTCCATAATTCAAAAAAGAAGGATACCATAATGGATTTCAAATTCAATGATATCATAACCTTATACCTATAATGTTCTAAGTTAATGACACTCTGAACTATGTTCAAGGTTACATTCCAATAACACATTTACATACATGACAAAGGTGTTTTATCCTACTAAGTTAAGAATTCATATTCACATTCTTCATGTATCAAGTAAGGTACGTTGGTCAACCAAAACAAGACACACTTCATTATCATCTAACACATGTATAATATCATTCAAGTTGCACATACGGTAAACTAAGTATACGATAATCCATCACAAGTCACATATATTCAGCTAGAAAGATTCACACTCCAACATTAAGTATACACATATAATGCATCATTATACCCTATCATGATCGCATATAATTACATAGAAAAACACATTATTGGACTTTACATACACACATAAACTATGTAGATCTTCTGCCACATCTGGGAATACCGCCTTGAGTAACTGGCGTTTGCATCCTCTTTGGGGACTAAGACTAGCCTCCTAGCTTGCATTATTACATTCATCAATAAAAATTAGCGTAGATTTATAACTTTTTACTACTTTTACACATTGAGGTTTACATAGACCTCTAAATACACATAATAGATATATATCGATCCCCTTCGTATAGGAAGATTGCTTAGTCTTCTACTTTTATTGCACATAGACATATGGGATATACTATAGTCTCAAATAATCTCCTCATCTCATAACCATCTAATAAGAGTATATCAAATAGGACCTATCCCATAGATCAATACAGTAAGACCACACATATGTCATACAACGTTTAGTATCCAAATTAAAATGAAAGAAACATAAGAGTCTTAATACTAAAAACAAATTCACAATTTTATAGTGGAATTGACCTCGAAAGACCTACCCAACTAGGATTATTAAGAATTCTAAGTGTTCTTCAAAGTCGTTTCCAAAATCTCTTCAACGACCAGAACCTAAAATGTTGGGGGAAATAAAGAAATGGGGTTAGTATACTACTTGTACTAAATATGAGACCATATACACCCATATCATGAAAACATGCTAAAAACAAACCTTTCTTGAAAACATGCTATTTACCCTTTGAAAACCTTATGCACATTGAAGAAGACCATATCAAATAAAAAAGAAATATTCATTAAGTCATAGGCATGTACATCAAAAGACCAATAATACAAAGTATAGTGAATTTAATGATCATATCAAAATACTTGCATATAATATGAAGACCATTCTAGTCATCAAGTAATAACTTAAAAAAACATGAATAATAGTTTATAATAATATAACCAAAGAAAAACAATTACCCATGAACCCCTATCAAGTAAACAACTGCATTGACCAAGAAAAGCCCCGTAACCTTACATAATCCAGTAACCCAATAAGAATTATTACCAACCTCCCACTTCACATAGCATGACATTTAAGATTGCATATGATTATACATTAAAAAATGTATACCAACACATATTCATAAGTGAAACTAATCAACATATAACATGAAAAACGTACAAGTTCATCATATACATATCATGTAGCATTATAATCATATACATACATAAGAACATCCTCCTAAGACTTCCTTCAAGGATAACTAGTGCAATGTTTAGGCAGAGCCCTACACCCCTACCAAGACAAAGCTAATCCCCTTAGATCATCATGGTTAAAGTGCATCTCTTTAATTCATTTTATATTTTCAGAACATTTTGCCTTAACCAACATAGACCATTTAAGCCAATGTGGAAATGCTTGTCATGAAACCCTTCACCGAACGAAGGTGGACTACTCGCCACAGTAGTACCAAAACATGAATATAGAAGATAAGTAATCCACTAGCTAGCATTCAAAATGCGAAAACATAGTTCAAGAACTAGGAGATATAGTTGGGACCCTATTTAATTGTAGTCTCCAAATGCCTTCCCTATAAAGGAAGGGACACTCTCACTCTAGTTCACTCGGTGCTAAGCTAGAGTCCCTTCTAAAATGTCTTTAATGTATTTAATAATTATAGTAGCTTAATGTAGGTCATAGGGTCTAACTCATTCATAATCATCATCATCATAGCTCAATAAGAATTGCATGAGTATAAACCTTTCATTACAATTCATATAAGTGAGGTTAGCAAATTTACATATCACTTCATGATATGACACATTGGTAAATCATTCACCATCTTTACAACATTTACATCTTATCTAACACCTCACAAACTATAATCAAGAAATTTCAATTAAACATCATACCACCCTATCAATCTAGTACGAGGCATACTCCAATACAACTTCATGGTTTAATCAAAATTAATCATAATTTGAAGTAAAGGATAGCGATCACAAGAATTACCAATTCTTCTTCGTAATTCATCATCTAGGTGTTACCATCAACCCTTAAATCAAGATAATTAGGGTGTATTTTCATCATAAAACAATAACAAACATTATAACAAGGCTAATTGAATGACTACGTAACAATTTGTCACTAGGTCATAGCTTAAGATAAAATATTTAGGTCAAATTTGCAACATACTTCATAACCTAAATAACTTCTCAAGAACTAGAATTATAGGACTATAATTAACCCGAATACATTCATTATTTATACAATAACAACGTCTAGTATTAATTCAACCAATAATTAATTTAGTTGAACCAATATAAAACAATTCTTATCAAGATCATCACCTAGGGTTAAAACATAGAGGTCATCTTCAACAAACTAACAAATTCATCAGTATATATCATATTTGATATAAATCACATGTTAATCTATTCATAATATAAAAAATAAATCATAAACAATTCAATTCACAACATCAATTTCGTATTGGATGAAACCCCAACTTTTAAAATCAATTTGATGGAACCCTTTTAGGAAAGAGGTATCAAAGGTGACAGACATCCCATACCTTATTAATTAATGAATATTGATGAATACATTTTACCTTTTTCAGCCTTTCAACCGTGTCCTACCATGGTGTTCAATGAGTTGTTCACTAGAGATAGAAAGAAGAGAGAAGGAAGAGAGTTTTCAGTTTGGGAATTATGGGAGTTTTTTTTAGTCTGATTAGGTTTGGACTTTATATAGGTGGTTAACCAACTTATTACATATCCTATAAACCCTAATAAACTTCCAAACTAATCCAATAAATTAATTAACTTAAGTAAAAACGAGCAGCAAAACACACCCCTCATAAACGAGACCCGATCGACAGTCTGTCTATGAAATGACAGCCAATGGACCCTCTGTCCTGTTGGTCCATCTTTTTTGTCAGAGGTTGTAAAAAATAACTTTAAAATATTTTGGTGAACATACCATCGACGGTGACCATTTACGCCCCGTCGATTGCACTCTTCTGTGCACACTAGCGTAGGTAGTCCATTGACCCAAAAATGCAAGGGCCCTCTTCAAGGTCCCTTGGTTTGTTCTTGGAAAGTCGTGCCCATACGTATCAACTATGAATCAACTTAAATATATGTTAGACACCCTTCCAGAAATTTTCATCATTTATTGACTCCTAAAAGCTAGTTAAATGGGCTAAGTCACACTATTACCTCCTTGAACTAGTTTTGGGAATTCATGGATGTTCTTCTACGTTTTGGTTTTAGACATCCTAAAAGTCTTATATTTATTAAAATAGACCTTAAAACAGCGTCTAAACCGTATGAAACTATTCTTAGGCTCTAAAACGCGCCTTGGAGTTTCTAAGTGTACCTTCACAATGACAACATATCAAAGTTATAACATACTAACTTCATAATTCATAAAGTAATGCTTACAAGGCTGCATTTTCACGTTTATATGACATACGCACAACTAGAATAGGTGGACCATAACAATCATCACAATTCATTTCCTATACTACACAATATAGAGAAGGTTAAGTCAACATACCACCAATCCAATCTCAACAACTCCAATCCATAATCAATGAAACCAACTCAATCCTCAAAGGCTCTTACCAATAGCCATAGTCACAAATTCAACCCAATAATCAGAATATCCAATGATCAAAGATAATAATGTATGAAATTGATCAATTTACGACATCATACATATAAATTTAACATGTTTCTCACATAATTGAATACCCCAAAGTAAACTACACAAGAAAGCAATACAATTGAGACATGATCAAATCACCCCTAATATGCCAAAATAAGGAACTCATGATTCGTATGTGTTCATGGAGTTTTTGTTCTAAAATAATTATATAAACATGAATTCAATAATAATTCATTGATTCAAAAGATTTTATGCATGAACCCAAATCTATATAATAAAATGGAAATAATTCATCGTTTGAAAAGATATTAGAAATCAAATTGAAGATTGGCTCCTTCAAAAAATAGATTCAAGGATGACACATAATACCTTAATAGATGATTAGCCACAAAATAAAGGCAGATTCAATGGACAAATCAAGCTCCAAGCTCCCTCCATTATTCACGCTCCAATGGAGTTCTAGAGAGTTCTTCTTTTGGGGTTTGGGTTTTAATTATGAAGAATGAACTTGGATTTGGGCTCTAGACTTATAAAACTACTTAAAATACCCATAATACCCTTAAATAACCTCCCAAAAAAATTTAAACACTAGTTGAATGTCCCAGTATAGCCTTGGCTTGGCCGAGACCATGCAAAAAATTTTGCAGGTCACCATCAACGGATGAGTTGAGTCCTCATAGATCCACCAACAGACCGCATGCTAGTCCGTGGTTTGGATCAGAGCCTCACTAAATGGGAGATAAATATACCCATGATAATTGTCAACCTACGCTCCAATCTATGGTGTGTTGACGGACCTACAGTTTGTTGATTTCCCTCGTTAGTTGGGACTTGGTTTGACAGTCTTGAACTACAAGTTGAGTCCTCCTCAAGGACCCTTGGGTTGATCCTTCGAAGGTCGTGTCCATACGTTTCCCATCAAAAAATCCTCGTATATAAGTTAGGGACCTCAAACATCAATTTTAACAAATACGAACATGTAAAACATGCAATGGTACACCTAAACATACAAGCACGTCACAAGGAAAATCTTTCGAACTTCATGCACGTTTGACCTCGAAAGAACACCAAACTTTACATACTTCCTCAAACACTAATATAAACCTTTTTAATACTTCATAACCTCATGAAACGAATGTTAGACTCTAGCTTCACCTAATTCATTTTAAGGGTATTACATTCTCCCTTACTTGGACAATATTCGTCCTCGAATGACACTTGCTTCATTTTAAAACACTTACAAGAGATTAAACTCAAGACTAGAAGAACATAACACTACTACACATATAAAATACATATAGATACAAGAAACACTAATTTAACCAAAACAAGAGACTAAAACAAAAAAAATAAAGAGAAACTAGTTCTACCACTCATCATGCGATAAGACTCACATTTTTCATTACATATAGGAGGAAATCCTTGTTGTATACGCATTATCGTGCTCATATAAATTATTTATAGACACATTATAGACATTTTTCATGAAAGAACAATTTAGTTGAAATTTCAGATTCCTTACAGTAAACACCAAATCGTTACTTGGAAACATGCTCAAATTATCCTTAATTCAACTGTTTTACATATATATATATATATATATATATATATATATTTAATAAAAATGACTATGTTTTGAAAAATTGATTAATGTTATTAATTAAGAAAAATTGAATTTCCAAAGTAGCAGAATTTTAGTAAAAATCAAGAAAAACTTATAATTATTTTCCAAAAGATTTATAATAGATGAAAATCGATTGAGAGAGGTTTGAAGTTCAAATGTATATTTCGAGAAGGTGTTAGGCCGTCAAAATGCCCGCTAATTCTCGGTTGACCTGCAATTTGACTAAAAAGGCCTTTTAAATAATTTTCCATATTATAACTAAGTAAAAAAGAATCATTTTTTTAAAAAAATAATTAAAACACTTTACTTGTTTATTATTATCATTTTCTAATTAATTATTTTAGTGGAGAGGGGGAGATCATTTTAAGAGGGTAGTGACTTAAAATTGTCGAAAAGACTAAAAATAAAAGATGAGTGAATGATATAAAGAGAAATGACAATCTCGGGAGTTTAATTAAATTAAACCATTTTATAAGAAATTTTAGTCAAAATAATACAAAAAGGGTTAAAAGGAAGACGATATTAAATTTGCCCTTGGCCCAAATCTTTATAACCTGTCCTAAATCTACATTGACCCAAAAATGGATATTGTCCCTCTTTTTGACCTAATAGGCCTGCTTGAATTCCCTTAGGACTTCCTAGACCTATTTTTTTGTAAAAATATATGTGTATAAGCTTTGCGTACACCACTGTATATAGGTTGTATTCTGTTCTTTTCTCTTGTATGTTAGACTGTATACTGGAAATATACATCATAGTTCAGCTCATCAAGCACCTAATTTTTTTGTCATGTGTATCATGTATACATTGTGTACCAATGTATATTGCATTATATAGTAGATATACAGCCTATTTTAGAACATTCTAAGGCATGAAATCGATCTTTAACCCCTGCACATCGACGCCCTTGACTCGAACAGTAATGATGCTAACTCAAAAAAATTCAACTCGAAAAAATGCAAGGCTGAGTGTCATAAAGGACTCGGATTGGTACCACATGTAATAAATACTAAGGATAATGAATTAGAAATAATAGAGACAATTAAGAAAAATGGAATAAGAAGAGTTACTGATATTCATGCAAGCAAAAAACTATAGAACAAACTCCTTAACAAAAAATAAAAGAATAAATAGTTGAAAGAAAGCTACATGATTGTCATTATAAATCTCATGTCAAGGATTAAAGGAAAGACGCCAACTCCCAAACATGCTTTCTTAAGATAACATCATTGTCATCCTAAACTAATAAGAACTGAAATAAACTAATCAAAAATTCCAAAAGATAACTTCTCGAGCAACTTTAAAATGTAAATGAAGAAGTGATTATACTTTATTCAAAGGCATGATATTGAAGAAAGTCATCAGTGAATAAAACAACAAAAACAGAGGCTACACATGGATAAAATAAGATAGATCACACCATTATAAGTAATAAGCAATAAAGATAACTCAAAATATAAAGAGGGATCAACATGTTGCCTATAAGACAAATATCCCACTTCGACAAGAAAAAAGTAAATTTATCCATGAGGACTTAAAGATGTCATCTTCTTGCACTAGAGTGTCAATATATCGGAGGCAATAGCCAACTAAATCATTTTAAGCAAATAAAAACAATTGCATCCGAATAACTAATCATAGAAACATTATTATTTTCATGATAAACACCAACAAAAATAAGCACAAAATAACATCCACAAAGAAAAACGGTGATGGGCAAACACCAAGAAAACGAATAAATTAAACGAGTTATACTTCTGATTGAAGTTTTCTAAATTATGCAAAGAGGGGAGGTTTAATTTTTAAAATAAAAGGTAATCTTGGTTAAATCGACAAATAATGTGATGGACATAATACCATAAGTTGAAACCAAAATTATACATACATAAATCTGGCCGAGCGGAAACAAGGACTATATACACAAACTAGTATTAAGAAGAAACCATCACTGTAAAAGGAATACTAAGGCAAAAGCCTGAGCTATGATCACATTGTCATCACACTAATGAAAAGCTAAAGCAAACAACGTCTCCACACTTCATATACATATATCCAAATCCCATTCATGTCAACACGGGAAAAGGAAAAGAGTGTATTATTATCGAAAGAAATCTCAACTATTCTATGATTGGAAAATTGAAATTTTAAATAATAATAAGAAAATATAAGCCAAACTAACTACTCTAAAAGTAGGCTGAAGATAAAACAATCAAGAATACAAATAAATAAAGTAAGGAAGTGTACTTATTTCATAGCAGTGAAATAAGACGCGAGCGAGTGGGGAGCGACCTTCCACTATTTTTTATTGAAGGAGATCAGATACAAACCTCAAAAGCCCCCCTAAAATGCAAGGAAACTGAAAGAGTAACTCTTTTAAGGAATATTTACTATTGGTAGATCATGACTAACTTCATACCTCTTTTTCATTCAATTTCTTTATCAAACCACCAAAATAGTGAAGAATATGGGGGTATAAATACATGACAAGGGGAATGATTTGAGGGGGGGGGGAGGATGGATGACTTTTGAAATTTGAATTCAAATTCCATACTAAAAAAATGGAATATCCTCTATTCGAAATGAATATACTCTCATTCCCAACAAATTCTAACGGAAGAATGAGGAGAACAATTTGAGTTCTGAGAGGAGTACAAAGGAGGGAGAGGATTGAGATCTTGGACTGTGCATTTTTTTTTGTTTTTCTAGGTTTTCTGTGTCTGGTTCACGCATAGAAATAGAGAAAGACACGAGTGGGTCGAGTTCTGGTTGAAATTGGGTTGCGCTAAAAATTAGGATAAGAATGAGTTTCTTTGGCTGAAGGAATCCTATTTTGAAAATTGGAACATCTTGAAGGGGAATTTTAAGTTGGGTCAACTGGGAATATGGATTGGGCTGCGGAAAATTGAATTGGATCATTGCCCAAATTTTTTCTCAAAATTGATTTAAGTTGGAGGTCTAAGATGGGTTAAATTTATGAAATAGCCAAATTGAGTTACATTAACAAATTTGTCTAAACCATAAATTAGACATATTAATATTTATCAATCATGAGCTTCTTAATATTAACAAGAAATAAAATAATTAATGTAATTGTAAACTTGTGATTCAAAAATCAACCATAAATTTAAACTAAATTAATTTAATTAAGAACATACAAAAATTAAAATCTTTTTGAGTTAATTTTCGGATATTTTTTTTAAAAATTAATTATATAAAAATATATAAACATATGTATTATATAATAAACATAACTAGAAAAAGTGAAAAACATATAAAAATAACTTGCAAACATAATAATGTTAATGTTTTTTTTTTGAAATTTTATAAAAATCTAATTATTTTAAATCATTACATAATTATGAAGATCGATATGATTAATTTATATTGGGGAGGGTTAAAATTGGGTGTAAATAGATGTCCCTCATTTTACTTTGATTATTGTAAGAAAGTCGAGGGAAATTAAATTGACCAAACCAATTTTGACCGACCACATTATTTATCTTTTGGAAAGGGATTTGGTACAGACTTTTGGAATTATAGTCGAACCCTAGACAAGGGTTTCCTACATATCTCCGGCTAAATGAGAATTCAGGACACTTGTAGTTCAATATGCTTGATTTAATGCACGATTATGAAAGAATTCAAAAGCTACTCTAATATCGAATTACGAAGACATCAGGATGCTCGAGAATAAAATTTAGTACTGAATTTTGGAGTACAGCCGAGTTTTCAATAGTTAGTCTCCATACATATCCTTAAACCATAGGAATCAGGCTGCTTGTAGTTCGATCTGATCGGTTGAAAAGGGAATCTATTTTGCTGGATAACCTTTGGTTCTTGACAAATGACAAGGAATTTAGTATCAAAAGAAGGCTTGCAACATCTTAGCCATGATTGCGGAGGTCTTCAAATCCCTAAGTAAGAACTTACACAAACATAATTTCCAAAGCTCTTGGTGCATCATCACTTGTATTGGAAAGTCACTTGTGGTAAATATCAAGAATTTTGCGGATGCAAAACTGAAACCATAAACCCTAAGAAAAATCCAGATGCCTTCTAATAGGGATATGGTTTGACTGTGGCTGAAGTTGCTCCTTAGCTTACGTCATAAGAGTTTTACACTCTTTTCGGACTATGTCCTAGTTCGCTACTAAGAAATACTTCCGCGTTGTGTTGCATCCTTGTTGATGTCATATGCATTTGCGGTTTAATTTAAGAATTCATCCTCTTGGATGCTCGCGACAAAGATTGAAACAAGTTGTTAGTAGAAGATATAACTGGAAAATTGGTAGTATCTCTTACGATGCTTTTCAGTTACTACTCATTTGAAATATGTCACATGAGTATGTTCAGCATGCGGTTTTCAAACACAGTATGTCCATTAAACATCATGAATTTCTAAGAAATTGGAGATTTCATTGTTTGTTTTCAATATGGCAATCTCTCTGATTTCTGCAATAAGCTACATGGCTGAATAATTATCAAACTGTAATGAAGTAGATGACTTGATAATAGTTCATCTGTAACAAAGTGGATGGCTTTATAATAGTCCAACTATATTAAGGTTGACGCCTCAATAATATTACAAATGTAATGAGGTGGATGGCTCTAAAATAGTCCATCAGTAACGAGGAGGATGGATCGATAATAGACTAAGTGTAACGAGGTGGATGGATCAATAA